CTTTTATTGAATTTTAGAGAGAGAGGAAGGAGATGGAGAGGGGGAGGGAGAGGGAGAGATAGAAACATCCATGATGAGAGAGAGTCGTTCATCGGCTGCCTTCTGAACGCCCCACACTGGGGATCAAGCCTGCAACCGGAGCCTGTGCCCTGTCGGGAAATCGCACTGCGACCTCCTGGCTCCTGGGTTGACCCCGAGCCCCGCCGGCCAGGCTGGATCACACGTTTAAGGGGTGGTTATGATCCTGTTCTTCTTGCCCTCGGATCCAGGAAGACACGTTCCCAGAAACGGGTGCGGGGCTGGGCCCGGCTCCCTCACCCCCTTGCCGTGGCTGCCGGCTGCCGGCGGGTCCCTGCCCGGCTCTGCCGCCCTGGGCTGAGGGTCCCTGCCCGGCTCTGCCGCCCTGGGCGCCCCAGCCAGGACTGTCCCCCCGTTTGCGACCAGGCCCTGCCTGTGTGCTCTGCCCTCAGAAAATCCAGGAGCTGGAGGCCACGCTGTATGATGCGCTGCAGCAGGAGCCGGGCGGGAAGGCGGGCGCGGCGCTGAGCGCGGGCCAGCGGGAGGGCCTGCAGGCCGCCGTGGAGAAGGTGCGCCGGCAGATCCTGCGGCAGAGCCGCGAGTTCGACAGCCAGGTCCTGCGGGAGCGCATGGAGCTGCTGCAGCAGGCCCAGCAGGTGCGGCGGCCACGGCCACGGCCACTCCTCACCCGTGTCGTGTTGGTGCCTGGTGCCTTAGTGTCCTCGCCCCAGCCGGCCTGCAGGGACATCTGCTGGGACCACAGGCCATCACCACACCCTCCCGGGACACCGTCCCTCTCCCTGCCAACCACCCCCGCCTCACCCTTCCCAACACTCACACAGCACCCCCTCTCCAGAGACCCTCCTTGGCTCCCCCCTGCCCAGAGGATGCAGCCTGGGTTGTTTAGCCCCTGCCCCCTCTACAAATGTACCACCTTCCTCTCTCTTATCGCACCATTGTTGTTTGTGAGTTTTCTAATGTCTGGGTACCAAGCACCGTTCCAGGACTGGGGGCCCCAGGACCCTGGACTTTCAGGGTGAACCCCAGGCAGGCCCTCTGCACCCTGGGCCTGCCCCCGTTACTCCCTCTGCCCACTCCCCCTGGGGTCTTGCACCACCTCAAATTGATGGTCCTGCCCAGGACACCGCCGTGCTGTGGTCCAGTCTTTGTTTTCCGTTTTATTTATTTATTTACTTATTTATTTTTTAATATATTTTTATTGATTTTGTACAGAGAGGAAGGGAGAGAGATAGAGTTAGAAACATCGATGAGAGAGAGTCATCGGTCAGCTGCCTCTTGCACACCCCCTACTGAAGATATGCCCGCAACCAAGGTACATGCCCTTGACCGGAATCGAACCCGGGTCCCTTCAGTCCCCAAGCCGACGCTCTATCCACTGAGCCAAACTGGTCTTGGCTTATTTATTTATTTATTTATTCTTTTTATTAAATATATTTTTATTGATTTTTTACAGAGAGGAAGGGAGATAGAGAGCTAGAAACGTTGATCGATGAGAGAGAAACATCGACCAGCTGCCTCTTACACACCCCCTACCGGGGATGTGCCCGGAACCGATGTACATGCCCTTGACCGGAATCGAACCTGGGACCTTTCAGTCCGCAGACCGACGCTCTATCCACTGAGCCACACCGGCTTTGGCTATTTTACGTTTTAAAGAGACCCTGTCACAAGAGCACACGCTGTGGAGCTCTAATTCCACTTCCGGAGCAGGCAAAACCCTCCGTTAGTGAGTGGGAGCAGAACAGAGTTTGGGGGGCGAGGGGGGCTGCGAGCGCCTCCTGGGGGAGGGAAAGCCACTGCTCCTCGGTGAACAGGGGGGTCCGGATTAGAACCTGAAGGGGCTCTGCTGACGCGAAGGGGTGTGTTTCAGAGAGTCCGGGAGCTGGAGGCCATGCTGGAGGCCCAGCGGCGGCACCTGAAGGAGCTGGAGGAAAAGGTGGGTGCTGGCCCCGGCCATGGGGCTGTGCCAGGGCCACGTTAGCGGGAAACCTTCTCTCCTGCCGGTCCCACTGCTGGAGAACGGGCCGTCTCCAGACACCCCCTTTCTGCCCTGACCCCTCCCCCCCAAATCGGCATGTCCACGAACCAATAGCTGCTTGGAGCATGCTTCTGGGAAGTGCAGTTTGGGATGAATTGTGTGTGTGTGTGTGTGTGTGTGTGTGTGTGTGCGCGCGTGTGCGCGGGTGTGTGTTGGGGGGGCATGATGTTGTTTTTCTCACAAAGACCTCTCGCCCCCCCCTCCGCGTCACCTCTCTGGGAAGGAGGAGGCAACCGCTAGCCACAGGTTTTGGGGCTCCCCAGGGGCCATTCCCTTCCCGTGGCCGCCTCTGCCAAAGCCAGGGCATGTCCTTGAGGTCTTCCCTCCCGGAGAGAAGCGAGGCCAGCCTGGCCGGCACTCACACCAGCCCTGTGTGGCTACAGGCATTCCCGTTTCACGGCTGAGGAAACCGAGCCCGAGAGGGGCAGATGCTTGGCCAGGACCCGGGACTGGGAAGGGGCGGCTCGGAAACCCCCTCACTTCCTGTTTCTCTCTCCACTCCTCACCCCTGGGCCCACGTTCTTAGAAAATGCTGCCCCTAAATCCCATACTCCGCCTCTTACACCTCTCTCTCTTTTTTCCTTTCTTGTCTCATTTTCTTTTGTCTTATTTTATAGTTTCTGTTCCTTTTTTTGTTTTTCTCGCTAGCGTTCGTTCTGTGGCCTTGAGGACGGCAGGGAGCCGAGACCTGGGGTTGGTACCCTTTCCTTTTCAGAGAAAATCTCAGGGCTTCAAGGGCGAGCCTGCCTGGTGCGCCTGGGACCTTCCCTGGAGCGAGGCGGGGAAGGCCCGACTCTGCTTGGCTGGGTCAGCCTTCACGCTAAGCAGTGCTCACGCAGGGTTTGTGCAGGACCAGGGAGTGCCCCGGGCCTCAGCAGGTGGGGGCGGGAAGCTGTGGGGGCGGGAAGCCGCAGGGGCGGGAAGCCATGGGGGTGAGGGGAGGTGGGTGCTGCAGGGCCGGCTATCCGGGTCCTGTTTCCTCCTCCCCTGGATTTGGGGGGGAAGGTCCTCGTGGGCTCAGCTGGAGTGGCAGGACAGCAGTTGGGGCAGGAGGGGGCACGTCAGCCTGGGGCTCTCCCGCCATGTTAGTTTCCCCTTGTTCCTGCATCCGATCACACTATTTTTCCTTTCCACAGGGCAGAAAAAGAGCCGGTGGGATAAACTGAGGCCCTATGGCAACCCCACCCCACGCGAACCACGTTCACAAGCTGTTCCCCGCGGGCTCACGGCCCTGACAGCGGCGGAGGGGGCCTTGGATGGCAGCGGTCCCGCCAGGCCGAGCTGGAGGAGTTCTGCAGGGGGGACGGGATTGTGTCACGCTCGGGGCCAGGGAGTCCCCACGGGGGGCCTTCAAGAGCCCACGGGGCGGAAACCCGACTTCCAGGGAACCAAGTGCAATTACCGGACACAGCTCCCCGGAGAGCGTCCGCATGGCCGTGGCCGGCCGTGGCCGGCCTGTGTGCCGCCGTGGCCGTGGCCGTGGCCGGCCTGCCGGTGGACACAGACCCTGTACATACGTCCCTGTGAACAGCCCCCTGTGCACCCAGAGGGACTGGCTAGTGTTCCTGTGACCTGGACCCAAAGCCACGCCCCGGGCCCACAAAACCCTCCAGACGTGTGTGCAGCCAGCCCGGCCGCTGACGGCCAGAGAGGGGGCCCGGGGCCTCGCCCGCTGCGGAAGGCGAACCCCAAGGAGCACCAAGCTCCATCACTCCCATGTATGTGACGTGGAGAAAGTCCCAGAGCATGACAGTCCTGGGGCCACGCGGAGTGAGGATGGGCGGCCCGGCCCCGCTGACCACCGGGACCGGCTCCACTGGGTGTGATTTGCAGGAGGAAGAGATGCTGGGAATGGCGCTCCTTCTACAGTGGTCTGGGACCAGGCCGCACTCCTGCTCACGGAGACCAGCCGGAGCCAGGGCTCCTGGGGAAAGCATTGGGGCGTTGCCGCTGCTGCTCTCTCAGGGTGGGGCTTGGGGGAGGCTGAGAGGGTCGTGTCCAGAATAATGCTCCTGCTCACCTGCCTGCCGCCCCCACACCTTCGGGAGGAAGACGTTTGGACAGACTGGACCAGGTGACATGGACGTGTGCGTGCGCAGGGAAGGACAGCCACGCTGGGCCAGGAGAGGCAGCGGGAGGCAAGGGCGGGCTGATCCCGAGGACGGGCACTGCCGCTCGGTGCCCGTGGGGCGCTGTGGGCCCTCCTGGCACAGCCGGTGAGAAGAGCCTTTGGCGGAAAGGAAAATACCTGCAGTCGTGTGGGGGCGGGCACCCAGGAGAAGCGCAGGGAGTTTTCGGAAGGGCAACCCCAGGGGTGGAGAAGGACCGGCCGTGGGCACCAAGGGGGCATCCCAGCCCCATGGGGAGGTTGTTCCCACCAAATCTAAGGATTGGGGGCCAGAGGAAGCGCCCCGGAACCGCTGAGGGAGACTCTCTTCTTAATCTAAACCCAAAGCACCTGCTACCCCAGCCCCCCGACTTGCCAGCCTTCAGCGACCAAACGGACGCCCGTGCGTGAAGACCCGGCGCCTGAGCACGCGGTGGGGACGGCGTGTGGGCCGCGTGGGCAGGGAGGACCGCGGGCCCCATCTGCTTTCGGGGCCCAGGAAGCCCAGAGACCCGCCTTGCTGCCTGAGTCGGCGGGGGGCGCCAGGGGCCACGCCGGGACTCAGGAAGCAGTCCCTGTGGCGCGGGGTCCTCTGCCCGCTGCAGGAGGGCGCCCCCGCGTGTCCACCTTCCGTCCGCTCACCTCACACCCGGGCGGCGGGCGGGAAGGGCATGGACTTTGAAGTCAGACCCACGCAGGTCCACCAGCAGCCGGCGTCCTCCCTGCCGCGGACACTGGCAACACGCTCGCCCCTCGGCGTCTCGGTTTCTCCAGCGCCTCCCGAGAGCGCTTCTCTGGCACAGCTGGCAGCCACAGGTCTCCGGGACCCTGGCAGGAGGCTCAGCAGGGGCACCCAGCTCCTCGGCGGGCGGCGTCCTCAGAGGAGACGGCATAGCCCACGGGACCAGGCCGGTCTCTCAGACGGCACGGGTGTGAGGGCTGAGGCTCACGCCGGCAGGCACGGAGCTGCCGGGCCTGGGAGACCAGCATCGCCAACGGAGCCGGCATTTGCCGTGACGGTCCAGGCGTCGCTTCCACGGTCCCTGCCAGGGCCGGCCCGGGGCCAGGAGTGTTCTTCTCAGGGAACCTCGGGGCCCTGGGAGCCACGCCTCGGCGCCCAGGTGAGCTGCACCCCTCAGGGGGGTGGTGGCGGTTGCCTGGTAACACAGCCCATGGTCCACAGGTGTGGTTTCCAGGGAGCAGAGCTACGGGGTCGGCTGGACCCAAGGTCACATCCTTACACAAAGGGGGAAGGGATGGGTCCGTCTGGGGGAGCCCCTTTCACGTCTCACGTGGTTCAGGGTTCCGGTTCAGGGTTCTGGTTCTGGAGGAGGCCACACACAAATGAAAGAGACTAGAAGAGCATTAATTTGAGAATATTGGGGGCCAGGTGGGAGCCCAAGAGAGGACTACCGCCTCGCTGTGGCCTCGCCATCCCTTTTAATAAGGTTATGAAATACACCCATATCCGTTTGGCAGGAAATTCCAAAAGAAGTGCCATTCCCAGCATCTCTTCCTCTTGCAAATCACAACCGAAAAGGAGCTGGTCCTGGGTCTGGGGTTTCCTCAGCAGGAATTTACATATGACTAACAGGTGGAGGCCGCTTTAGCTGCCAAGGTCTCAACTAAACAGTGAGCGATTAGCTCCGACCTTTCAGAGCAATTAGGGGTGACCAGCCTTCCGATTCCCTGTCCACACCTCTCTGTCAGTGACAGTGATGGGTTTCTGGCATCCACCCTGGGAGCCTCTGGGAGGCAGAGGGGCCGCCAGCCAGGGGCTGGGCACGGGGCTGGGCACGGGCAGGGCACGGGGTGATGTAGAAACCTATGATGCGGCTGCCCACTCTGCACCCGGCACCTGGCTGCTTTGCAGGCCGGGAGGCCAGGGGTCAGCTGTCCCGTTGGGGCGGGGACTGCGTTGCCTTGGAGACCTGGCTGCTGTGCCTGCGCCAGCTGACGCCTTCCTGCGCCCCCTCACGGTCTTCTTCCCCTCCTGTCTGCAGGCCGAGGGCTCAGGGTGCGTGGCTGCGGCCCTGCCCTCCACATCCGTCAGCGGGGGGACCGGCAGGAGCCCACCTGACTGAGCCCAGGCCAGGCACTGGCTCTGTTCCCGGTTTGCTTTCTTGCATTGAAGCAGTGCCTGCTCGCGGCCTGCCGGCGAGGGGGGGCAGTCCCTCCAGCCGGTGGGGGTCCCCTCCCGGAGTTTGTCTGAGAACTCTCCGAGGCTCCTGCACCCCAAACGATGCCCCCCTCCCAGCCCTGCAGCGGGGTGCAGTGGGGCCCCTCCCGCCTCCCTTCTCCCATCTCCCTGGGCTGTTACAGTCCACTTGGGAACTCCAGCGCCCCGCTCTCGGCAGCTGCCCCTCCTGGGACCACCCTCAGCCTTGGTGGCTCCCTAGGGTGCAGGGCCCGTCCTTACAGCCCTCATTGTGATGCCCCCCCCCCCTTCCCACCAGGGCTCCACCCCCAAGAAGCCGGCGGGAGGTGGTTGACAGGGAGGGCCTCCTCTCTCCTCCCCCAGAACCAGGGAGCTCATTCCCTGGACCTGGACGTCTTAGTCACGAACCCTAAAGGCCTGGGCGCTTCCCCAGCTGAGGCTCACGGGCCGCCTTTTACCCTCCTGGGGGATGCGGCGGGGAGTCCTCTCTTAGGGCTGCGCTCCTCCAGAAAAGAGGAGGAGGCCGCCCCCCTCCAGGCCCGGGGCTGTCCCTGCCGGAGGGAAGTGTAGCTCCCCCAGGCTGGGGGCATCCCTGCCTCAGGTTCACAGTCAGGCCCAGCTGTGAGCTGACTCTGCCCCCCCATATCTGTGGGCTGGACAAGCGCCCCCTCCCAGACCCGGTTCCTCACCCGCGAGGCAGTTAGGGTGGCTCCACCTCCGGGTCCTTGGTGGAGGCCGGCTGTCCTGGCCGCCGGGCACAGACCCCCGTCATTAGTGCCAGCCTGAGCCGCGCTGGGAGACCCTCTATGCCCTTCTGTGCCCTCCTGTGCACGGCGGGCTCGGCACTGAGCTCCGGGGACCCGCGGTGCCTCGCTGGGCGGGAGTGCTGGCATGCCGGTGCGTAAGCCGAGAGGGCCGTGCGTATCGCGTGACGCTTGGCGGGTGAAACCGAGCCCCTCATGAATAATGCACCGCTCCTGCCTCCTCAGGGGACATTCTCCCGCACAATCTGGAGGGCTGCACCCGCCTCGCGATCTCCAGAAAGCCAGCGTCGCAAGCGCACCTGCCTGCTGAGGCCGCGGCCCGTGCCATGCCGGGATGGAGCCCGCGGCGGCCGGGCGCGCGGAGAAGACCTTCAGCTACGTGGTCAGGGCCCCCGGCGGGGACGGCGGGGACGTGGTGAACGTGGACGTGAAGATCGACACGGCCTGGGTCTTCCGGGATGCGGAGGACAGCGGCGAGGAGGGCAGCGGCGCCGAGGACAGCGGCGAGGAGCAGGGACGCCTCCCGGGAGGAGTGGCCCCCGGGAGCCCCGACGTGGACACGGACGCAGGGACGCTCCGGAGGCAGCTGGAGGCCTCGGAGCAGAAGCTGCTGGCGGCGGTGGACAAGTACGTGAGGTCGGAGTCGGGGCTCAGGAGCAGGTAAAGGTGCCACGTGGGCCTCTGCGGGGTGCGCTGCCTGGGCCCGGGCGTCAGAGCCGGTCAGAAGGCGGGTAGCATCGTTCCCCTGGCGAGGGAGCAGGCACTTACGTCGCTAGCCTGCCCGCCCGGCCCTGCTGTCCATGTCTTCTCTCTCTCCCGTCCACCCAGCTCTGCTGCTCTGCGTGACATTTCTGACGGTGGCCACAGCTCAGTCCTACTCCCGGTCCCTCCGTGGTCCTGTTCCTGCTGTGGCCCCGCCCCAGCATCACCACCCGCTCCCGGGGGGCCTCCCAGCCCAGGGACAGGGGTAGCCGTGGGCAGTCACTAGTCCCTGGGTTGTCTGTCATCTCTGATGGGCCTTTGGGCTCACCCACCACCGGCGCAGCAGGCCCTGTGTCTGTTTCTCGCTGCTGACCCTGAACTCCCTGTGGGAAGTTGTCCGGAGGCAGCCACATGGCCCCAAGGCTGAGCATGGGCTCCAGGCCTCTCTCCGAAGCCCGGGCTCTTCCGGGATTGCGGTCTGGTGCCCGGGCTGGCAGCGGGAGGCGGGCTCGGCATGGACCTCAGAGGAGAGACGCAGTGTGGTCATGGCGGGATCGCCTCCCACGGGTTCCCAGTATTCCAGCAGCCAGAGTCTGGGGTCTGCCTGAGACTTCGGCCTTTCCTTGTATTCCCCTTCATTTTAATAAAGGCAAGTCATTAAATGTGTATTTACATCTGCTTTACTATTTTTCTTCTTTATAATACGTTTCACATGGAGGAATTCACATATCAAAAAAATTATTTAGTTATTCTATGTATCACTCCTATGATTGTCTATCCATCTGTCCATCCTTCCATCTCTCCATCCATCTATCCATTCACCTGTCTACCCACCACCCATCCATTCATTTATCCACCCCATCCATCCATCCATCCATCCATCCATTCACTCACCACCCATCCATTCATCCATTCACCTATCTACCCACCACCCATCCATTTATCTATCCACCCACCGCCCATCCATTCATCTACCCACCCACCATCCGTTCATCCATCCATCCATCCACTCAACTATCCATCCATCCATCCATCCATCCATCCATCCATCCATCCTATCCATCCATCCATGCATCCACCTATCCATCCATCCATTCATCTATCCATCCACACATCCATCCATCCATCCATACATACATACATCTACCCACCATCCACCCATCCATCATCCATCTTCCATCCACCCACCCACTGATTCTACAACCTGTACTCACTTCCCAAGAGCCACGCACTAAGTTGTATTAGTTTCCATGACAACCACAACCAAGTATCACAGGCTGAGCAGCTTCAACATCGGACATCTATCCTCTCACAGCTCTGGAGGCGGAAGTCCCGATCGGGATGTGGGCAGGGTTCATTTCTCCTGAGCCTCTCTCCTTGGCTGATGGATGGCTATCTTGTCTCTGTGTCCCCACAGTCATTTCTCCGTGTGTGTCTGCGTCCTGATCTCTTCTTATAAGGACACCAGGCAGATTAGATTAGGGCCCACTCAAGGGACCACATTTTCACTGAATTCCTTTGTGTGGACCCCATCTCCAAAGACAGTCATATTCTGAGGCCCTGGGGTTAGGACTTCAATGTACAAATTTGGGGGGACACATCCATCCCAGAGCATACGTCCTGGGGGCGGGGAGCGGGCGGACAGGGCCCAGCCCCGGACAGAGGAGTAGTGTGGCCCACACAGTATTGCCCATTCAAATCTTCCTCCAGAACGATTGACAGTGAAAACCAGGAGGTCAGCAGGCGTGGGGAGGATGGGCGGGACACCCCGGCCACAGGCGACCCCTCCGTGTGAGGGAGGGACGGGGACGGGCACTGTGAGTGCGTGGCTGCTGCGGCTGGGCTGAGGCTGACCTGGGCCAGGCAGCCTGGGCCCGTCTGTGGGGAAATGTGGGCCGTGTCCTCTGTTCTCGGCGGGTGGGCTGCACCGAGCCCCCGGGGCTGGGCCTGGAACCCAGGCAGCCTGGCCAGAGTGGCGGCCGTGAGGGACGACTTTTCCCCACCCCCCGAGCGTGTCTCCCAGCTCATAGCTCTCCTTCCCGCCTTGCATGCTGGTCTAACTGGGCGCTCATTGGTGTAGAGCTGTACTTCGGTGTGTGTTTCGTGTTGGCGAGTGTGTGAGTTTCCTGTTGCCCAGCCCTGCGGCTCAAACAGCGGCCCCACAGCCCTGCGTCTCCGGAGGCAGGGCCTCCCTGGCTGGGGTCAGGTGCAGGGGGCCCTGCGCTCTGGCCAGCGCGCGCTCCTCAGCCGGCGGGGGCTGCCCTGGCCTGGCCAGCGGCTGCAGGAGCAGTGCTCGTGCTGGCCTCCGTCTGCAATGCCGCCAGCCTAGCAGCCCGCACGCCTGTACCCTCTATGTGCGAGCCGTCTGCCTCTCTCCTGGGCCCCCCCCGCACAGTCTAGGATAATCTCACGTTCTTGAACGCAGTCACACCGCAGTCTCACATGCACTTGAAGGCAGCACTCCCGGGTCCCGGGGGTCCGGGCCTAGATGCCTCTGTGGGCCGTTATTCCGCCCGCCCCCAGTGGGACCCACCATTCCCCGGTGGGGACGATGTCCGAGTGAAACACTGTCTCCCGGCTAGTGTTTCAGGCCGCTCTCAGAGGCTAGAGAGGCTTTCCTTGTTCCGTTTCGATGCCACGTTTTATAACAGATCAGAGCCACTCGGGACAGCCTGACCGGTGAACCTGGAGCCCCTCCTCTCGTGCAGTTTGGAAGGGACGCGATTATAATCCGCACGCCCTTCTGCCACTTTCGGATCTCCCCCAGGGCCTCGGAGCTAGAGGAGGAGAGGGTCTCTTAGCTTATCCTAATATATAAAAAGCCAGGGGCCATCATGACAGAAACAACTGGACAGACAACCGAACAGCAGGCTGGGTGGGGTGGCCAGGTCAGCAGGGGCGGGGGGGTTGGGGAGGGTAGTTGGTGGTGACCAGGCTGGTGGAGGGGGGAGCAGTTTAGGGCAACCAGGCCAGCAGGGGGCAGTTGGGGGAAACTAGTGGCAGGGGTTGGGGGGGAGGGAAAGGGTGAGGGAGGCAGTTAGGGGCGATCAGGCAGGCAGGTGAGCAGTTAGGAGCCAGCGGTCCTGGATTGTGAGAGGGATGTCTGACTGCAGGTGATTGGGCCTAAACCAGCATTCAGACATCCCCCAAGGGGTCCCAGATTGGAGAGGGTGCAGGCTGGGCTGAGGGGACACCCCCCCCCCCCGTGCATGAATTTCGGGGCCTCTACTTATTAATAAGAATGCATCATTTTATTAATCTTCACAACAACCTCTGAGCAAGGTGCAATTAACTCTATTTTTAACAGATATAGATACTGAGGGTCAGAGTGGCGAATGAGTCCAGTTGGGCTCCATGGCTGTACGCGGCAGAGCCAGCAGGCAAAGCTAGTCCTCATCTAGGGAAGCCACGCTGTCCTGGATGAGCGGGTGGCCGGGGCGGAGTTGGTAAAGGAGTGGCGATGGGCAGGCCAGGCAGGCGGGCACACACTTCCCACGTGCCCCTGGTTTCTATTATGGAGGTAAGATCGGCACCTCGGAGACTGGGGTGCTCGGTGCATGCAGGTGGCAGGCACGTCTCTGAGGTTCCTCCTGGGCCGCAGCCAGGCTGTGGCCTCGGGTTTCCCCCACTCACACGTGCTTCCCCCGACACGTGGCTGTGGTCAGCGGCTCGTCCAGGCTGGGTGTTCCGCTGCATGTGACCCCGCCTCAGCATTCCCCCAGGGAAACAAACAGCCTTCACGTGCCTCTGCTGTCCCTGCCAGACAAATGGCCCCTCCAACTTCTTACTTCTGTAGTCACAGAGACTAATTATTTTAATTGCACAAACTTTTTTTTTTTTCTGATTCAATCACTTCTACAGAAGAGAGTCACAGGAATGTAGCTCAGAAGGGAGGCAATGGAGCAGAGGGTTAAAGTGTCAGTTTGGGAGTCAGACAGCCTGGGCTCCAAAATGCTGTGTGACCTGGGGCAGGTTGCCTGGCTTCTCTGATCTGCAGTTTCCTCCAGTGTGAAGAAAGGGTCATGCAGCCCACCTGTGGGCTGGCAAGGTGAAGGTTCACTGAGGCCATGCAGGTGCTTGCTTCAGGCTCAGTTCCTTTATCTTATTTATATTTCAAGAAAAACTATTTTAATATAACAATGTTACATGCATAAACATTAATAGCTTAAGGAAAATGATTTTAAATATAATAATGTTACATGCAATAAACATTAATAGTTCAAGAAAAACACATTAATATTTTAAGAAAAACGATCTTAAATATAATAATGTTACATGCAATAAAGATTAATAGCTCAAGAAAATGATTTTAAATATAATAATGTTACATTCAATAAACATTCATATTTTAAGAAAAACAACCTTAAGTATAATAATGTTACATGCAATAAAGATTAATAGCTCAAGAAAATGATTTTAAATATAATAATGTTACATTCAATAAACATTCATATTTTAAGAAAAACAATCTTAAATATAATAATGTTACATGCAATAAAGATTAATAGCTCAAGAAAATGATTTTAAATATAATAATGTTGCATGCAATAAACATTAATATTTTAAGAAAAACAATCTTAAGTATAATATTACATGCAACAAAACATTAATATTTGAAGAAAAAAAGATTTTAAGTATAATATTTAATATCAAAACTGTACTGACACAGTATGATATCACAGAAGTTGTAGGAAATATTGAAAATCTGCAAATAACAGAATTACTTCTATTATAGTCCAGAACAGTGGTCGGCAAACTCATTAGTCAACAGAGCCAAATATTGCCGAAACCGGTTTGACTCAGTGGATAGAGCGTCGGCCTGCAGACTGAAAGGTCCCAGGTACGATTCCTGTCAAGGGCATGTGCCTTGGTTGTGGGCACATCACCAGTAGAGGGTGTGCAAGAGGCAGCTGATCAATGATTCTCTCTCATCAATGTTTCTAACTCTCTATCCCTCTCTCTTCCTCTCTGTAAAATATCAATATATATATATATATATATATATATATATATATATAATTATATATATATAATTATATATATAAAATTATATATATATAAAATTATATATATATATATATATATATATATATATATATATTTATTTATTTTTTTTTATTTTTTTTTAAACAGAGCCAAATATCAACAGCACAACGATTGAAATTTCTTTGGAGAGCCACATTTTTTAAACTTAAACTTCTTCTAACGCCACTTCTTCAACATAGACTCGCCCAGGCCGTGGTATTTTGTGGAAGAGCCACACTCAAGGGGCCAAAGAGCCGCATGAGGCTTGCGAGCAGCAGTTTGCCAACCACTGGGCTAGACTATTTCCCCCTCTGGCTCTATTTCTGTCCATCAGTTTACATTCATTGTGTCCCACAAGTGAGTGAGACCACGAGGTACTTACCTTTGTCCAGCGCAGCTCTCCCTGAGTGGCCAGCCTCGGGGTTTCTGGCTTAAAGATGAGGTTCCTATTGGGATTTCTGACGCCTGGAGCCTTCTTAGTCCACAGATGCCTTTTGGATTGTGGTAGCTCATCCCTAGGAAGATACGTGAGATGTTTTACAAAATGCAATTGTGTCCGAGCACGACATGGGCCAAACAGCCACCCAGAGGCGGTCCGGGCGTGTGCAAACCTTGGGCGTGTTTGCCGTGTCCGCGTGGGACTGAGCGCCGCCTGCTTCCCGTGCAGAATCCAGGAGCTGGAGCGGTCGGAGCGGAGGCTCCTGCGGAAGGTGGACCAGCTGAGCGCCCGCGTGTGCCAGGAGAGGAGCGCCTCCCTGCGGGCCCAGGAGCAGCTGCAGGCGCTGCAGGGCGAGCTCGCCTGCCAGGTACGGGCCTTCCCCTTCCCTCCAGAACCAACTCTCTTCCCCTCGGGGTCCCCCCCCCCCGTGTTTGGATGTGGTCGCAGCTACACCTGAGCAGAGACAGTGTGTGGGGGACCTGGGTGAGGTCATGTGGAACATGGGATCCCTGCCCTGCCTGCCTCACAGGCTCCCGCGGGGACCGTTGGGGTGGGGGTGCGGGCGGGGTGACCTGCGGGGTCTGGGCACTCACTGGGAGCGCTGGGCAGAGTTCATTTCTGGGGCCTCCGTGCCTGTATGGGGGGGTGGGACACAGCTCTGGCCTAAGGACAGGGAGAGGGCTGCCCCGGTCACTGCCTCCGGGCTGGAGTGCAGGTGGGGACCCAGATAGGAAACGAGGACTCAGAGCTGGGCGCTGGGGTCACGAGGGCGGTGCGGCATGGTGAGCAATGCATGGGGCGGGAGCCGCAGAGGGCCGGCCGGAGAGCTGGGCCTTGCGGGCAGGGCAGGCGAGATGAGGCGTGGGCAGCCACCCGGGCAGAGGCATGGAGGTCTGGGGGACATACCAGGTCCCCGCAGGGGGTGTGCGTGGGGAGAGGGAGTTGGTGAGACTGGAGGGTTCCCACAGGGCCAGCCCGCCAGGGCCGCTGCGCGGACCGATTCTGAAGGAGAGAGAGAGAGAGGGCAGGCGCTGGGGACGTAGCAGGAGAGGCTCTGGACCAGGCTTTGGGGGATGTCATTCTAGTTGCAGGGAGAGAGAGATGGCAGGGATGGGGGACAAATCAGAGCTGGAGGCAGATGGCTGTGTGACGTAGGGCAACTGACGTAACCTCTCTGGGCCTCGGTGTTCTCCTCTGTGAAATGGGAAGGATATAGCACCAACACCCTCAGATTGTGATGAGGGCTAAGTGAGTTAATAAGTGTAAAACACTTACAGCAGTGGCCGCTTTTGTCATTAGTAGTGTTTATGGAAAGACTCCAGGGGGGAGATGATGCAGGCAGGAGGGCGGGGCGCATAGGAAATACTGCGGAGGCAGAAATGACAGGAGTCAGAGGTGGAGACGGAGGCAGCGGCGCCCCCAGAGCCTCAGGGGGTCCTGTCCTGGGCAGTGATTGCTTGCAGGCTGCCATCGCCGGCGGGCGGGAAGTCAGCTCTGAGTCACAGCCCGGTTACAGGTAGAGCCGACTAGGCGGTGAGAAAGGGGCTCCGGGCTGAGCAGGCGCTGCTTCAGGACACGGCCTGGGCCTTGGAGCGGGGTACGCGTGGCCGTGTGCTCCTTACTGTGGGAGCGCTCAGAGACGCTCACAAAAGCTCGTCACCCCGGCTCAGGGAAGGCGTTCAGTTATGTTGAAAGGAGTCTTTGCGATGGGGGGAGAGGGGGGGCGGCACATGAGTGGCGATTCCCCCTTCTATTGAACGACGGGCACTGAAAGTCAAGTTCATTACCCTCCCGGGCTTGTAGCAGTCACCAGCAGTGTCCCAAGAGGAGTTCTTGTGTTTTTATTGATTGTTAGAGAGAGGAAGGGAGAAGGAGACAGAAACACCGAGAGAGCATCATGGATCGGCTGCCTCCTGCATGCCCCCGGCTGGGGATCGAGTCTGCAAGTGGTCAACACTCAACCACTGAGCCACACCAGCCGGGCCCCAGGGCAGTTTTTTTTTTTTTTTAATATATATATTTTATTGATATTTTACAGAGAGGAAGGGAGAGAGATAGAGAGCTAGAAACGTCGATGAGAGAGAAACATCAACCAGCTGCCTCCTGCACACCCCCCACCGGGGATGTGCCCGAAACCAAGGTACATATCCTTGACCGGAATCGAACCTGGGACCTTTCAGTCCACAGACCGACGCTCTACCACTGAGCCAAACCGGTTTCGGCCCCAGGGGAGTTTTTAATACAAAACACAGAGGTGTGAGCGATTCCGTCACGGGTCTCTGTGGAAGATACACTGATATGCATTTTTGAGCCGTGCCTCCAGGACAAGCAAGGTTTCCAAGGTGAATCAGACTCGGCCCTGTGATCAGAGATGCTCACCGAGCGCTGGGGAGACAGAGAGCCAGGGAGACCGTGTGAGGCGCGGCAAGGCCACGGCCCTCGTTCTGTGGACACTAAGGCCCCTCCCCATCCCCATTCTGGCCTCAGGACGCCTGCATGCTCCTGGGAAACCCCTGCCAGGACCCCATCCCAGGGGAGGCGAGGGTGGTCAGTGAAGAGGGGCTTGCTCAGGATCCCTGGGTGACCTGGACCTCTGCCTCTGGCTCCCTCCCCGACACCCGTGCATTGCGGAGCAGGTGCGGTAGGGGTGCGGGCACCAGCTCGGCCGCCCTGTGCCTGATGCTGGCCCAGCGGCGGCTCCGCCCCGCGGTCAGCGCTCCGGGCAGCGTGCACTGCGCCATGGACGCCTCGTGTCCGCAGTGCCTGTGGCCACTCTGAAAGCCCATGAGGCACACCTGTCGGGGGACAGAGCACCCAGCACCACCGGTGACAGGTTCACCCCGAGGGGCTTCCTCACCGGGAATTGTCTCCAGGTGTGCCTGCGGGTCTCCTCCCCGCATCTCCCTAACAGACACTCCCGGCTCCTCCGGCCCGGCTGAGCTGGGTGACTGTCCCCGCACCACTCGGCTCCGGTGCAGGATGTACGGGAGGGGGGCGCCGGAAAACTCCCTAACAGATATAAATAGGGTTTTGATGCGACATGTTAATGTGAAAATATCCTCCGATGCACCAAACGCCGAAGTTTAAGCCGAAGACAGGCTCCAGGGCCTGCCCCCTGACGCTCGCCCACGGCCACCGCAGGTGCTGGAGCAGGAGCGCGCGGAGCGGCGGCAGCGGCGGCGGCTGCGGGAGCGGCTGCGGGAGGCGGACGAGGCCCTGGAGCGCTGCCGGCGGGCGCAGCGGCGCGAGCTGGGCCTGGCGCGCGAGCAGGAGCGGGCGCTGCGGGCGCAGGTGCAGCGGCTGCAGCGGGACGTTCGGCGCCTCTGCCGCGCCGCGGGCCTCCTGCTGGCCGAGCTGGACGCGCCGGGCCCGGGCAGCGCCCCGACCCGGGGCCCCGCCGGCCCCCAGCGCGGCCCCGTGGACCCCCAGGACCCCGAGGACGCCGCGGAGCTGCGCGCCCTGCGGGCCAGGGCGGAGCGCGGCGAGCGGGAGCGGGACGAGGCGGCGCGCCGGCTGCGGGCGCAGCTGGAGGACCTGCGCTGCTGCCTGTACGGCCTGCAGCTGTCGGAGATCGGCCTGCAGAGCCAGGTGGACGACCTCTCCGAGCAGAACCGGCGCCTGCGCGAGGAGCTGGCGGCCCAGGCCCCGGGCGAGCGCGTGCGCAGCGCGCCCCCTGCTGGCCACGGGAGCCTGGTAAGTGGCGGCACCTGGGGGCAGGAGTGACTGCCTTTCTCTCACTTCCTGGTGCAGACTTTGGTTAAGTCACTGACCCGCCCATTCTCCAGGCTCCCTCTTCACCCACCCAGCCAACCCCATCAGCCCCCTCGGTCCACCCTTCACCCCGGGCAGCTCCTACCTACCCACCCACCAGCCAGCCAGCCAGCCAGCCAGTCCTGCTCACCCCCGACCCATTCATCCATCCACCTGTCCACCCATCCACGTGTCTCCCATGCTCCATCATCTCACCCTACCGTCTGCTTCCAACCACTTCCAGGCAGCCAGCCAGCCACCCACCCTTCACCCCTCATTGTCTGGTCCCTGTGGTCCACCCACCCAGAGCCAACCTCTAATGGCCCAGCCATGTGCCAGGCCCTGGGCTGGCCGCGCCCCTGGGGCGCGGTGTGTGTCCCCGGTCCCCGCTCCCTGGGACAGCAGCTGCCCCTTTTGGCCTCCCTCACCGCACCGAAGGCGGTGACCGTCCGGGCGTGGCCTGCGTGTGCACCTGCCTTCCCCCTGACACTGTGAGCTCCCCGGGGGCAGGCCGGGCCTGAGGGGGCTGCGCGGTGGGAAGCTCACGGGGCGGACCTTCCGGCTCTCCTGTTCGCCAGTGGGGTGACCTCGGGCAGGTTTCTGAGGCTCTGGAGGCGAGGGCAGAGGCCGTTGCTTAGTCACGTGACTGACGGAAAGGTAACAGCTTACATGTGACCTGCCCTGCCCTGTGCTTGGCGCCCTCCGGGCTGTCTCGGAGGCGCTGTTGCATTGAATGGTGGCGGCTGAGGCGGGCGCTGTCGGCACCCTCACTTCCTAGGAGGCTGAGGCTCAGAGGCCATGCACTGACCTGTGGTCACGCAGTCCTCCGAGTCCGATTGCTGTCTGCGCTGCACCTCTGCCTCCCCAAAAGAGCCAGCTCAGCTCCTCCCGGGCCCTCTTCTCGGCTTCTCTTCGGGGGTCGGCGTGCATTGAAGGAAAAGCCAGTGAGCCACGGTAGCTCAAGCAACATTGCTCATTAAAAAAAAAAAAAAAAAATCACATTTACCTTCTGACCAGACCACCTATTTCAAAGGCACTGGACCTTTAACCGTGCACGTCTCAGCCTGATGCCCTGTACCTTGCGGGACCCTTTTTTAATGAGCGTTTCTCTGCGTCTGTTTATCTTTGACTTTATATTCCTCCGTCCCCCGCCGCGTGTCCTGCTCGCTCCCCCTTCGCTATGTTCGTGGATGAAAGGAACACTGTACGTTTGAACATTGGCCCCTGACTGTAATTTTGGAAAATAAACCGTGTTTGGATGGCAGTTGTCCTTTAGAATCCTTCCTGTGATCTTCCTAAGCGTAAGACGATCCTTTAGGCCATTGGCCGGCAAACTCAGCCCACGGAGCCAAATACCAACGGCCCAACGATTGAAATTTCTTTGGAGGGCCACATTTTTTAAACTTCTTCTAACGCCACTTCTTCAACATAGACTCGCCCAGGCCATGGTATTCTGTGGAAGAGCCACACTCAAGGGGCCAGAGAGCCGCGTGTGGCTCGCGAGCCGCAGTTTGCCTACCACGGCGTCAGTCCTCACTCGCCCAATCTAGCTCCTCCTACGCTCGACCCACGCCTTCTTTCCCAAGAGGCAGGGTGGCACCCAAATAGTTAAGAGACCTGGCATGTTGGACAGTCTGTGTTCCCATTTAACCCTCAGCACACCTGGGCGCCAGGCTGCCACCCACTGGGCAGATGGAGAGATTGAGACTTGGCCATGGGCACTCAGTCACCCAGTCCCGGGGCCGGGAGGGGACACGGGTCGGATCGGAGCCCTGGCTCCAGGTTGTGCCGCACCTGGAGGTGCCAGGCCGGGGATGGCTCTGGAGGATTGTGGGGCGGCGTCGGCCGGATTCGTAGCTGTGCGCCCCCAGCCCCCAGCCCCTCGTCAGCCTGCACCTGTGACCTCGCTGTCTCGCCAGTTATCAGTTAGAGGCCCCATGCCCCAGGCTCTGGCTCTGGAGGCTTCTCTGGGTACCGTGGTGCCGTCAGATCCTCCAGAAAGTTCCCTGCGTGGCTGTCAGGTCCAGTCCCAGCCAGCCCGCCTCCAGCCCCTCCCCAGGCGGGAGCAGAGGGAGCAGCAGAGGCTGCCGTGTAGGGACCGCAGGACAGAGCGCGCGGACCTTAGACACGGAGCTGCGAGCTGGGCGTGGAGTGTGCAGGGCTGAGGCGGGGATCCTGCGTGGCAGGCAGCGCTGCCTCCTGGCACCGCGGTGCCTGCGGGCAGGTCACTGACCCCCCTGGGCCTCCGTGCCCGCAGGTGTGAGCTGGGAGGGACCCGGGACCCACTTCCTTGCTGGCTGGTGAGGATGGGACGAGAGGTTCGGAGACGGCCCTTAGCCCCGTGTGGTGCATGGCGGGTGGGCAGTCACACTCAGTGTCAGTGCCTTCTTTGTCACCACCATCATCACCGCCTTCGCCACCATCCCTTCCTGGGCTCGTGGGGTCCCGGGGGAGCTGGGTGGACGCACCCACGCTTTGCACACAATAGCTGCCCCCTCCCTGTCCCCACGCTGCCCCTAGACTGGACAGTCCGAGGTGACTGACTGGTCTCCACTGCTGGGCGGGACCCTGGGGGGGTAAGATGAGACCCCTCCCCACAGGGGAGACAAGACCCCCTGGTGAAGGCGTGGGGGCAGAGGAAGGGGCCCGCCAGCCTCCAGCCCACTGTGATTTTAAAATGAAAATGCTCTAGTCTAGCCTATTGATAAGGAAGCTGCAAAGCCAGCTGCTGCCCACGGGGTCTGGGTCTGGAATGTGTGAGCTTGGCCGTGGCCGTGGCGGCCGTGGCCGTGGCAGCAGTGGCAGCAGTGTCCGTGCACCTGTGAGGTCGGCCTCAGGACTGAGAGCAGTGCACATGCGCGCTTCCCAGAGCCGAGGGGCGGGGCCCAAGGGGCGGGGCCGGGGGCTGAGGCTCAGCAGGTCCTGTCAGGGGCCTTTCTCGGGAGAACTCTGGTAGCCTGATGTCCTGCTCCCCTGGCCCTCAGGCCCCGGAGCGGAGTGGAGCCTCCTGCCCACAGCACCCGAGGCCCCTGCTGCTCTGGCTGAGCTCCAGGCCGTGCCCGACCCTCCCCCCCCCTCCCCCCCCGCACCCTGCGCCCCTGCGTGTACAGGCTCTCACAGCCTGTGCACCTTCTCCGTGTCTAGGAGCCTCCATTTCCCCCTCCCCAGGCCGCCCCCCAAGTCCCTGCTACCTTCTCCCCATTGGGCGGGAAGGTCATTTCCTCTAAGATTCCCTGACCTCATGGAGTCCATGATGCCATGACCCCCCGCTCCGGTGGCTCCAGTTCCCACTGGGACAGCCTGCCGCCTCTCCTCCACCACTCTCCTTCTTCCCCGTCACCTGCCGGGGCCATTCGGCCCTAAATCCGGCCTCAGCCACGGCTGTGACACCTGGTGGACGAACAGGCGACCTGCCTGGGTGGGCTGGGGTGGCGCTCCTGCTCGGGGAATAAATGAACGTAAGGAGATATTTGCGCCATGGCCCCACGGGAACGGAAGCTCCTAGCGGAAGGGACCACCGCAGGGCAAGGTTGGCTGTGACTTACAGGAGTGGGAACCTGGGGTGGGCCAGCCCCGGGGCCGTGGGCACCGGGCAGAAAGCCGTGACAGAAGCTGGCATATTGCGTGGCTGCTGCAGGCCTGGCCCAGTGCTACACTCCCTGCCAGCCTCTGCTGTTCCCCTACAAGGACCTGCAGGGTTCCTGATCCCACTTTGCAGAGGAGGAAACTGAGGCAGGGGGCGAGGCTGCTCACCCAGGGAAGCAGCGAGGTGTGCTGCCCCGGCAGCTGTGGCCGTCACGGCGAGAGTTACGGGGAAGGCAGTCACTGTGGGAAGATAATAACTTATTTGCTTCATATTTTAAAAGTGATTTCCCAGCTGGAACTCCATGGACGCTGGCAGGTAGCCACAGGGATCGGCGTCTCGTCCCCAAACCCGCAGTGCGCGGGGGCACGGCCGTGCCCGGGTCACACACTTCGCGGAGTCTGGTGCAGGCCGCTCTGAGCCCCCGTCCCGGGAGGACGGCCGCTCCAAGGACAAGCCCAGGCCTGGGAGGAGCGTGGCGGGGAGTTCCTGCTCAGGGTCCCGGTGAAAGGAAATGAAAAAGGACTGGTTTGCCCGGCTGGCGTGACTCAGTGGTTAAGCATCGACCTATGAACCAGGAGGTCATAGTTCAGTTCCCGATCAGGGCACAGGCCCGGGTTACAGACTGGGATCCCCAGTGTGGAGCGTGCAGGAGGCAGCTGATCAATTAGCAAGAAGGCACATGGCACTGGGCTGGCGAGGTGACCCGACCTGGCCTTGCGAGCTGCCGGGGAGGCAGACACGGGCGGCACTTGGTGGCTGGCTGCTCCAGCAGGGGCGCCAGAGGCTGTGGCTGGCCCGGCGGGTAGCAGGAGGCTGATGCCAGGAGATTCAGTCACAGCCTTTAATTTGCCAGCCTCGGGCTGTAATTTTAGAGCTGAGACCGTGTTCTGGGTCCGTGGTCGGCAAACTGCAGCTCACCAGCCACCTGTGGCTCTTGGGCCCCTGGAGTGTGGCTCTTCCACGAAATACCATGGCCTGGGCGAGTCTATTTGGAAGAAGTGGCGTTAGAAGTTTAAGTTTAAAAAATGTGGCTCTCCAAAGAAATTTCTGTCCTTGTGCTGTTGATATTTGGCTCTGTGGACGAATGAGTGACTGTTGTGGGTGACAGCAGCATCAGGAATGCTGGGCCCTGCTCTGCCAGCCTCTCTGCCCAGAGGTGTGAGTAAGCGACCCCTGGTGGCCGTGACCGGAATCTTTCATTGTTTAGGGAGGAGTCCTGGCCTGGGACTGCCTGCCTTTGGGCAGAAATGGCATTTCACCTTTGACCCTCACGCCCAGAAGCACACCGGGGCTTTGAGACACCATGGCGATAGTGTGAGAACCAGCACACAGGCGGGAGCTGTGACCTACACTGAGGTAGAAGGCCAGATGTCAGGCCGGTCACCTTACCCCAAAGGTGGGTCCCGTCCCATCAGTGAGGATCACAATAGGCCCGACCTCGAGACTGCGTTTCATTCTGCACGTTTCTCAGACGTTACAAGAACCTCAGCACGCTCCCTCGCTGGCGAGCCTTGGAAACACCCTGCATGCCCCCCAGGGGCCTAAGTGAAGGCGGTCCTTATATCGGGGACCATGTGGCAGCGCAAAACGCCACGTGGCAGGAGAACTCGCGAGGAAACGGCCCTTCAAACACAGGAAAAGCACAGAACCGAGCTGGCTTTGGGGCGGATGTAAACGTGTCTGCACAGACAAGCCCAGCAGGATGCAGTCTCGCACATGAGCATGCTGCGTCTGGATCTCACGCAGTTCCTGTTTTCCTCCTTATCTTTCAAAGTAAAACGAAAGCGGAAAGCATGCACAGGGACAGGCCAGTGCTCCCGTGAGCAGGGAAGGCGAGAAGGGTTGATAAGACGGAGCGGAGAGGTGCGGGAAGGGGAGAGAGCCTGGATCCGGGTCAGAGCCCCGAGCTGGGTCCTGTCCTCCACGTGTGCGCTGTGTGGCCTGGGACCAGCCGCTCTCCCTCTCTGAGAATGCATCTCCCTCTCCGGCTGGGGGAGAGGCCGAGGGCATTGGCCGTAGCGTTTGGACTTGTTGGCATGTGAGGGACAGGACTGCCCAGCGTCCCTGGAGGGGCATCACTTATGAAATGAAAGGGGGGTGGCACCGTCTTTTTGGGCGCCCTCCATTGGAGGGGAGGTGCCCGGAGCAGGTGGCAGGGTACAAGGCTCTGAGCAGGAGGGAGAGGGTCTGGGGAGGAGCAGAGATGGGGTGGGAGGAGCGGACTGAGCCGGGTGAGGGGGCTTCTCCTTCAGCGCAGCGGGAAGCATGAAAGGCTGGAGACAGGAGAGCAGCCTGCCTCTCTTCCAGCTCAGTGGGGCTTCTGGGAGGTGGGCGTGTGGGGGGGCAGGGCTGAGACTGAGGGGTGTGTGTGTGTGGGGGGGAAGGGGTGCCCAGCAAGCTGCAGGCAATGAGCACCTCCCCATTACGTGCCAGCCGGGCAGAGGGAGCAGTAGACGCAGGCGCACAGAGGCAGGCCAGCCAGGGCCAGCGGGGAGGCGGCTGGGGGAGAGGCCACTGAGGGTGGGGGCCAGGGCCAGGGTGAGGAGTGTCCGTCAGCCCGGGACCCCATGGCGGCCTCCAGGGCCTGTCTCAGCGCTGGAGCCCAAGGAAGCCGGGTGGCTCGGAGCGGGAGGCCCAGCTAGGGGCTGATGCAGGGCCCCTGGGAGCAGGACAGCACCCGGGGGACAGAAGGGGGGGGCATTACCTGCTCCCGGCTTCCTCAGGGGCCGTCATCCCTGTCCCCTGCAGCCCTGACCCCCGCAGCCATGTCCCATGCAGTCTGTCCCATGTAGCCTGTTCTCTGACCCAGAGAACCTCCGTTCTCTGACCCAGACCAAGCCCTGGCACATGGCAGGAACTGGGTAAACGTGTGCCCATAGACGCACTGGGGGGTCTGAGCCACCTGCCCACCTGCAGGGTCTGCCTACGCATCCGGCTGTCACACATGCATCAGGCACCTACTGTGTGCTAGGCTAAGGTGCGAGTGCAGCCTGGATGGACTCAGTTCCCCTCCAGAAGGGCCTCAGGGTCTGGTGTGGGCAGAGGGCAGCAGGCAGCACCGTTAGGACGGGTTAGGGGCGCGTGGGTGGCGGTGCGAGCTGAGTCTCTGCGGCCCCATGCCTGCCTGCAGCGGGAGAAGGCGTGTGCTATAGTGCCCTGCAGGGCGCCTTACTGCGCACCCGCCGGGCCTGGGGAGAGGCCGAGGGCAGGGGCGCCACCCAGGGGCATTGGCCGTAGCGCTTGGCCTTGTTGGCATGTGAGGGACAGGACTGCCCATGCCCCTGGTGGGACACAGTGGGAGCAGGAGGGAGAGGGAACCGGAGCCCGGAGGTGTCCTGGCTGCAGACAAGCCCCTCGTTGTCTGCGGTGCTAACAGGAGGCAGTTAGGGCTGTAGGGCCAGGAGCTGGGACAGGCTGCACAGGACAGGGCTGTATGGGACAGGACTGCATGAGACAGTCTGCATGGGACAGGCTGCATGGGACAGGCTGCATGGGACAGTCTGCATGGGACAGTCTGCATGGGACAGGCTGCATGGGACAGGCTGCACAGGTCAGGCTGCAGGGACAGGGCTACAGGCCAGGCCAAGAGCCACGAGCCACGGCTCCGAGCCTCAGTTTCCCCTGGGTTCCCACTGCACCCACAGGGAGGGACGCACGGGGACCGGCGCGGATGGACACTCAGCTCTTGGTTCCCTGTCTCCCTGCAGGACGCCTGGGGCCATGCCCGGGATGAGTGGCTGCTCCTGCCCTGGGAGGAGGCGCCGGAGGCCCGCGGATGCCCAGGCGGGCAGACACCGCCCCACCCCGACGGGGCCCCGGGACCGCACGCCTCCGCAGGTATGAGGGAGTCACAGTGCGTGGAGCATGGGGCGCCTGTGTGGACACCCCCCCTTGGGCTAGCTCACTTACACACCTTGAGGGTGTAGGGGCGGCCGTCCCGATTGCAGACAGGAAGCCGGGCTCAGAGGTGGCGGCCCCTCAGTGTCACACGGCTGGTGAAGGGGCCAGAGCCCGCAGTGCCCATGACACACTGCCAGCACAGGCCGCAGGCCCCTCAGGCAATTTTCCCCACCCCAGTGACCACCAGGCCTGGGAGCTGCTGGCCTCAACAGCCCCTTGTCTCCATCTTGTCCCCAACGGGAGCCATGTCCCTGATGGCAGGCTCAGCCACGGCTCCCAGGTCCCTGTGCACACGCACTGCTCCCCGGAGCCCAGGGACACCCATCCCCCCGAATGTCTGTGGGTTCCGCAGTCCCCCGGCCAGGGGCGGCGTGCACAGGAGGGTCAGATATCCCATCAGCCACTCACCTCGAGGCCCACTTCCCCTCCGCCCCCTTTCCGGGAGCCGTGCTGACCAGCAAACAAGGTCAGAGTCGTCCTCGGAAGGCACGGGTCTGCCTGCAGGAGCCCAGGAGCCGGCTCTTTGGCCCCCACAGCAACTGGACAGGCTACATGGGACAGACTGCACGGGGCATGGCTGCGGGGGACGGGGCTGCAGGGGACAGGGATGACGGCCCCTGAGGAAGCCGGGAGGAAGGTGGCGTGGGTTGTCCCTGCACGGGCTCTGTGGTTAGAAGCGGCTGCCAGATGCAGACCCACTGCGCGCGCAGGGACGGTCACTTCCCATCTCTGAGCCCCTGGTTCCTCCCCCGGAGGGTGCTGGGGATCCCCAGGCCTTGGGGGTGTGAAGGGTGTGAGTCAGCGGGCAGTGCCATCAGCCCCGGCAGCAAGGGCAGGGCCACTGGCGACAATCCCGGGCAGGGTCCTAGGAGGGTCTTTCTAACCCCGGGGCCCTGTCCCTCCCCAGGCCAGCCGGCCGAGGCGCCCTGCGGCCTGGGTGGCGTCGAGGCTGGGCGAGGCCCCTCGGAGCTGGTGCCCGGCCTGGAGACTGCAGCCTGGCTCCTGGCAGAGCTGGTGGCTCCTGACCACGGACAGGTAAGGAGAGGCCTCCTGGGTGCCCAGGTGCCAGCTGGGTGATCAGCCCTGCGTGAGCCCTCCCTGTGGGTGGGTAAAGATGCCCAGCTGTGTGCCAGGCCCAGCGGCCACCTGTCATGCCTCATCCCGTGGAAACGTCTGACCGGCTGCGAGGCAGGAGGCAAGCCCCTACTCTGCAGAGAAGGCTCCAGGACCCCAAGAGCTGTGATTCCCCAAGCCACACAGCCCTGGGCTGGCCCCGAGCTCTGACTCTGCAGCCACACTCCGCCCATCTGTCCCCCGAGGGTCAGGAGCCGACCTCCCCCACCCCCACCAACCCCCGCCCTGTCTGGCCCGCTTTGAGGCCCAGCGCTTCCTGCAAATGAAAGGCAGAGGCCCGCCAGCAGAGCTCAGACCGTTCGGCCTGGCTGGTTCTGGGGCTCAGCAGAGGTGCTGTGTGTGTGAGCCTGTGTGTGTGTGCACACGTGTGTGTGTGTGTGTGTGTGCGTGTGGCGGGGGATGGAGGGCTGTGCCCTCACACACAGACTAACGGGGTGGGGGTGCCGTGCAGGAATGGCAGGGAGTGGACGTGCTCAGGGAGCCCTTCTGAGGAAGTACCTTATGGGTGAGATGAACGGAGCGAGGGGTGAGCCAGGAGGGCTCTGGGCGAAGGGCATTCTGGCAGAGGGCAGAGCAGGTGCTAGGGAGGCCTGTGCGGCTGGTGAGGAAGCCCCGGGACAGGAGGAGGCGGGGTAGAGGGGGGCACACGGCAGAAGGGGGTATGTGACAGAGGAGGGTATGCGGCAGAGGGGGCTGATTCCCGCCTCTCCCCTTTCCTCCCCCCCCCCCCAGCCCGCTCTGGCTGAGCCCGCCCTGCAGGGACAGACGCTCCTCCTGCTCTGTGGCTGCCCCTCTGGGCAGAGCGCCGACGCCTCCCCTCTCCCCACGGAGCTGGCCTGGGTCTCCGCGCAGAGGCCAGTGGCTGCCGCGGCCCAGGAGTCCCTCCTGCTGCGGACGGCCGTGCTCCCGCCCTGGGGGCCCGACGGGGGCCCCGCCGCCCTGCTGCTCCAGGCCGTGTTCACAGAGTCCCAGACCCAGCAGGGGCTGGACGCGGGGCCCCTGCCTGCGCCCCGAGCTGTGGGACAGTCTTGCTGGAACCAGCCCCCGGCAAGGAGCCACGGCGATGGGATCCCAACAGGGCCCGGCGATCGGAGCGGTCCATGGGAGGAGGGAGGGGGAGCTGCAGAGTGGAGAGCGGTGGAGGCGTGGGGGGCGAGCAGCACGTGGGGCTGGAAGGAGGAAGACCTCGGGGACAGGTGCCAGCGGCGTCAGGAGGGCCAGGAGGACCCCAGCGAGGAGGACAGGGAGGACGGGGAGGATGGTGCTGGCGCCCTGGGAGGCCTGCAGAACACACAGAGGGCTTCCGGGCCCGGGTGGGAGCTCCCCCCTCCTCTGCCACAGGAGGAGGCCGCCACGGCCACTGAGGGCCCCTCGTCCCTGGGCAGCAGGTGGCAGGCAGAAGGGCACATGTGGGGCCTCCTGGGAGGGTTTCCATTGGAGGAGGAGGAGGAGGAGGAGGAGGAGGAGGAGGAGGAGGAAGAGGCCTCCACAGCCGCCTCCTCCAGGGCTCACGGTGCCAAAGGGCCGTCTCCACCCGGCGCTCAGCTCCCCTCAGGGGACAGGGCCCCCAGGAGCCCCCAGGGCCACGAGGACAGCCCCCCGTGGGCTGTGACTGCGCTCCTGCTGCTGGAGGAAGGCCCTGGGGATGGGGGGCCGGGCCAGGAGGAGGAGCCGCTGTGTCTGGAAGGACCCAGTGCGGGCGCCGAGGAGAGGGAGGCGCAGGAAACCCTCTTCCTACCAGGAGAGGGCAGTTTGCTGCCACCGCCACCTCCCACGTGGGCCTCCTCGCCGGAGGGCGCCCAACCCGCCAGGCCCCGCAGGCCCCCCACGCCCCCGAGGCCCCCACGAGAAGGACAGGCCGGGCCTGCGCTCACCATAGACGCCTTCGCGGAGGAGATGGAGGCCTGCTTCCAGCAGCTGTGGGCGCTGAGGCGCGGGCGCGGGGGCTGGGGGCGCCAGGCGGCCCCCGGGGCCGGGGAGGACACGGGCTCTGCAGGGAGATGGGGCGGTGGCCCGGCGCCTGCCGAGGGTTTGGACACGTGTCCTGGGAAGGAAGCAGGCCCCTCGGAGGGTCGTGAAGACGTGAGGCCAGGAGAGACCGAGGCCCCGGGCACCGGACACGCTTTCCCAGGGGCGGGGCTGGGTTCCGGGGGCCCGCGCCCCGGCCCAGGGCGGCCCTCGGAGCTGGAGCGGGGCCCGAGCCCCCGCCCGCCCCCCAGAGCCCTGGAGCGCGCCCGGAGGCGGTTCCGCCAGCTGGTGTCCGGGCTGAAGGAGGAGGGCCGCCTCGTCCTGCAGGACAACGCCCGGCTGCGGCGGACCATCCGGGCGCTGCGGGCGCAGAGCGAGCGGCAGGCGGGCGGGGCCCGGGCGCTGGAGCGGGACCTCGGGGCGCTGCGGGGCGAGCTGTCCCGCCTGCGCGGGGAGCAGGCCCAGTACCTGCAGCTCCTCGCCGACCTGGAGGACTGCAACGCCAGGAGCTACCGCCGCCTCTCGGAGCTGGAGGAGGAGAACGAGGGCCTGAGGCGGGGCCTGGGCCGGCTGCAGGCCGCCGTGGCCGCGGGCACCGGGCGGGGCCGGGGCCTCACGGGGGACGCCGCCCGGGAGAACTGGGAGCTCAAGGCGCTGATCTCGGAGCTGGGGCTGGGCTACAGGGGGCTGGTCAGGGACGTGGTGCTGGGGATCCAGGACATGGTCCGGGCCCTCCGCGGGGAGAACGCGCACCTGCTGCACCGGGTCCGGGCCCTGGAGACGGGGGTCGCCCTGGGGGGGAGCGCGGGCGCGGGGCGACCGGGGGGAGCAGAGCAGCGCCCCCGGGGGAGAAGCCAGGTGGGCGCCGTGGGCCCGGTGGGCGCCGTGGACATGGCGGTGCAGGTCGGTCCGCCCTCCGAGCCGCTGACAGCGGGAGCCCCCGGGCCACCCTGGGAGGAGGACACAGATCAGCCCGGAGAGGGGAGGATGGGTCCTTCCTTGGGCACAGAGCGTCCTGAGCGCGGAGCCGAGGCGGCCACCCCCTCGCTGGCCGGGAGAAGGGCTGGTGTGCCCGGAGCCCTGCCAGGAAATGTCTGCGGGATGGGAGCGCAGGAGGCCGAGGCAGGGAGAGAGGAGACCGGACTGCGGCGTTCTGCAGGCCCGGGGCCCGCGCTGGCGCCCCCGGGTGGCGGCCACCAGGTAGGTTGACTGCGTCGCTCCCTCATCTCCTCGTGCTAACGGTCTAGACTGTGCCCGCACCCCTGCCCCCTAGACATGCCACCCTCCCTCCCGCAGCTCCGAGAGGAGGCGCAGCCACCGCCATTGAGCCGGGAGAACACACTGGCTCAGGGAGTCAGGGAGCGTGTCTCAGGCTAACCTGAGCTCCCAGTGGGCACAGGGCCGCACGCCGCCCTCCAGCCTCCTCCGTGACACGGACAGCTGCTCCCTGCGTGGCCGAAGGAGCAGAGCCACAGAGATACAGACGGAATTTTACGTAGAAAAATAGCCCTAGCCAGTTTGGCTCAGTGGGTAGAGCGTCAGCCTGGGGACTGAAGGGTCCAGGGTTTGATTGCAGTCAAGGGCACATGCTTGGGTTACAGGCTCAAACTCCAGTAGGGGGCGTGCAGGAGGCAGCTGGTCCATGATTCTCTCTCATCCTGGATGTCTCTATCTCTCCCTCTCCCTCCCCCCTTTCTCTCTGAAGTCAATAAAATATATATAAACAAAGGAAAGAAACAGACAGGTGGGCTTGCGTGTATGTATGTGCACGCCTGGGTGTCTGCATAAATCTCTTAGAAATAACAATGTAGACTCCAGGCCACTGGGGGCAGCAGCATCCCAATTACTTACCCACAGTCCCACGGCCTTCCTCCGGCCCTGCGCTGGACCGCTGTGCACCGGTTTAATAAATCTGTTTAGCCTGGCCGCATGGCTCATAGAACCAGGAGATCAGGGGTTACACGCTCCATGGCCAATCAATGATTCCCTCTCATCATTGATGTTTTCCTCTCTTTCTCTCTCTCTCTCTATACCCCCCTTCCTCTCTGAAATAAAAAAAACACATCGTTTTGAAAGAAAGCTGTTAAAACGCAGTATCTTATGTTTCCTACAAACGCACCATGAAGCACCCCGTAATGAGCCGCTCAGAGTTGGGTTTGACATGGAACCACTCGCCACCCTGAGCTCTAGGCAATGGCGGCCGGCCAGCGGCTGTAAATCAGACCCCAGGCCTTTGAAATACAGGTGGAAGAGGTGTTTCTGAAAACAATGTTCTAAAGTATTACTGTCAGACCTCAGTTTCCCAGACCTGTGCCCGCCATCCACCCTGGAGGAGCCCAGCACGGGCCCTGCACTCACACACACATGATATGAGCGTGTGTGTAAGAGCACAGAGCGAAGGGGAAGAACACACGTGTGTCCTGACGACGGTGATACCAGCTCACAGGATGAGGAGTGATTTCTGCTCCTTTATCTTCTCCAAGTTCTTAACTGTTAGGAAAACATAAGCAGGAAAGAGCTTGGCCTGCCCGCTGTTGCCCAGTGGTTAGAGCATGGGCCCGAGCACTGATTTGATTCCCGGGTTTGATTCCTGGGTTTGATTCCCGGTCATGGACACCTACCTCGGTTGCGGGTTCCATCCCCAGTCCCCGGTGGGGTGTGTTCGGGAGGCAGCAGGAGATGGTCTGTCTCACATTATGTGTCTCTCTCTTTCCCTTCCCTTCCCCTCTCCCTAAAAATCAATGGAACATTACTCCCGGGTGAGGACCAACGACAGAAAACGCATTTGTGAAGGCAAATGGCGTGGCAGGTAAGCTGAGACTGTCACCGAGTCTGTGTCCCGCAGCCCCCGGACGCCGAGGCCGAGGCCGAGACCCCGGAGGAGGCCCTCCGGCTGCGTGTCCGGCGGCTCCACCACCAGGTGCTCACTCTGCAGTGCCAGCTCCGGGACCAGGCGTCTGCGGGCCGGCAGCTGCAGGCGGCCCGGGACCAGGCCCTCCGGCACCGGGACCAGCTCCAGGGCCAGGTAGGCGGGCGGGCGGCCTCTCCCATGCAGCGGCCCACCCTCCGGAAGGTAGTGAGAACAGGAGAAGGAACCAGCTCAGCCCTCAGCGGCCATTGCCAGGAACTGCTTAGTCTCTATCAGGCTTACAAAGTACAGGGCAGCACAGGGAGAAAACCTCCAGGCAGCTCACCTGTCCATCCTAAAAAGAACACAGAACCGGCGGCATCAGGCCTGTTCAAGGATGTGTGTGTGGTGGTACAGGTGATAAAACTGTATACAGCCCAGTACACAGACACAGATCCACATAGACACACAAGTAGACACACACACACACACACACACACACACATGTATACACAGAAAGACATACACACAGAGAGAAACACATAGACATACATATATACAGACATAGATAGACATACACACAGAGAGACACACATGTACACATACAGAGATATACACAGGCACACACAGAGAGACAAACACAGACACACATAAACACACAGATGCACACACACACACACAGAGACACTTAGACATACACTTAGACACAGATACAGATACACATAGACACACAGATAGACACATACAGAGACACAAACACATGTACACATACACAGAGACTCATAGATATACATGTATACACAGACATAGATAGATAGACATACACGCACAGACACACAGACAGACACAGATACAGAGACAGACATACACAGACAGACCCACACACAGACACAGAGACATACACAGACACAGAGAGACAGACATGCACACACACACACACACACACACACACACAAGCAAACTGGAAAAGCCTGAATGAAGCTGGTGGGGTGTATCTATATACCGTATTTTCCGGCATATAAGACGACCCCCTAATTTTACAGTTAAAACATAGGTTTAGGCCTATATTCGCTGTATAAGACTACCCCCCACTTCCGAGGCATCACCAGTTCTTTTTTTAATAGACTGCCTCTCTGACTCTGGCCAATCTGAGCAGGCTTTTTACTAGAACACACTGCTCAGATTGGCCGGAGTCAGAGAGGCGGTCTATTAAAAAAAGAACTGGTGTGGCCTCGGAAGTGGGGGGTAGTCTTATACAGCGAATATAGGCCTAAACCTATGTTTTAACTGTAAAATTAGGGGGTCGTCTTATACACCGGAAAATATGGTATGGAACTGACATTATTTGGTGGCAACTGCTCCCTTCAGGGGAAACCAGCGGGATATCCGGGGTCTCTGCATGGCTTCTCACAGCTGCGTGTGAAGCTGTAATTACCTCCGGTTTAAATACGTGCTCCTTGGAGATTCGTAGATCTTCTGTGGAGAAAGCCGGTCAGACCCTCTGTGCGTTGTGTAGTTGCCTTTGGCTGTTGTTGAGCTGTAAGAATTTGCTGTATGTCCTAGACACATGTCCCTCGTTCGGGATCTGATTTGGAAATGTCTCCTGTCACCTGTGGTCTTCTCACTTTCCTCTCGTTGACTTTGTGACCGGACACGGCCAGTACACAGCTCTCGGCAACGGAGTCAGGCCGTTTCCTGAACCGGAGCGGAGAGAAGGCTTACCTCACGCCTGCCACTCAGCGGGTGCCTCTTGGTGATGGACAGTCCGCTGGGAGCTGGCCTTTACCCTGAGCTCATCCAGAAAGGAGCCGAAAGACAGGTCCAGTGGCCGCTGGTCTGCAGATAGAGAAGCAGGAACAATATGCATTTTCAGAATAAGAATTAGCTAATGAGTTGTGTTTCAGCCTCATGATGAAGGAATAGGCAGGACTGTGAAAGAACGTGGTCCGTTTGTGTTGACATGGAAATCACACCATGGTATTAAATCAAATGGAAAAAACAACAACAACAACAAGATGAGCCCTAGCCGGTCTGGCTCAGTGGATAGAGCATCGGCCTGTGGACTGAACGGTCCCGGGTTCGATTCCGGTCAAGGGCACACGCCCGGGTTGTAGGCTCTGTTCCCATTGTGGGGCGTGCAGGAGGCAGCCGGTCCATGTGTTTCTCTCACATCGATGTTTCTCTCTGTCTTTCCCTCTCTCTTCCGCTCTCTCAAAAAATCAATGGGAAAATATCCCTGGGTGAGGATTAACAACAACAACAACAACAACACAAACAAAAAACAAAACGAAACCAAGATGGAAGGCATTCTGCATGTCGCTTCATACCCACCCCTCACATTCGATCCCGGCGTGTGCTCAGGGTCAGAGAGGGGGGAGGGGAGAAGGGCTTTGCTTGTGGGGACAGGAGGGTGAGCAAGGAGAACTCGGACGCCCCCCGTGGACCGGCCTGAGCTGTGGCTCAGGCGCGCGGGTGGGCCTGGCCGGCGGGCCTGCCCCTCAGGCACCGGGTCTCTTGGTCCCGCCGGCGCGGGCGGGGCTGCAGGGCCCAGGCGGCCTCTCTCCGGGCCTGGCCCCTCTGGCCAGGTGGCAGCCCTGGCGCACAGTCCTGGGGAGCTGCCCGGGTGCCAGGCCTGGTCCTCACTCACGGAGTCCTGGCTGCAGTCACCACCCCTGCATGTCACTAACGTTCCCCACAGATGGAGAACGGAGGCAGAGAGAGGGGCTGGCACAGGCCGCCGTCCCAGGGCGTGGCCGGGCCGGGAACCTGCAGGTGTCACCTGGTGCCAGGGGCTCTGGCACCCGGCAGGGAGGGAGGGGTGTCCGAGCTGGCGTGGGGCTCGCTTGCCGTGCTCAGGGCACCCCTGCTCCCGACCCTGCCGGGGTGACCTGTGCCGGGAGAGGCGCCCCCCGGGACTTCCTGTGGGAGAGGAGGGGCACAGCGGCCTGGGGGAGCCCCCGGGAGCAGGGGGTGGGGCAGTGGCTCAGCCCTGACGGTGCGGTCTGTTCCAGGTGGACGAGCTTCGGAGACGGCAGCACGAGGCCACCTTGGCCGTGACCCCCCTGAAGGTAACACGTTCGAGCGGGTGCTGTGCCTGCATTCTCAGAAAAGCTGTTACCCGTTAGAGATGGGACGTCCTGGGAGAGTCCTGGGAGGGGGAGGGACAGACGGCGCTCACTCCCAAACCCGCTGCCTGTGGCGTGTGCCTGGGCTTGCTCCTGGGTGTCTTACACGGGCACCCTGGCCCCACTGCCAGGAAACTGACGCGCCAGCAACCCTGAACGCCCCCCCCCCCCCGGAGCGGAGGGCCCCCCGCAGGGCCTCCCTGGGCAGGACGGGCCTGTCACCCCTCCACTCGTGTCGTTCATGGAACACATCCGTCCCGAGGGCCACACGGTGCCCAGTGATGACATGTGACAGGCCGGGCCCAGCTCTGACCTGGAGGTGCTCCAGGCCGTGGGGAAGCCAGGCCCATAGTATGGTTACCTGTAGGGACAGCAGGAAGCCGGGGCCAGGGACAGAGGGACACTCGGCCCTGAGATGGGGAGGCCTGCTGGGGAGGTGATCCGGCTTTTCTGCACGTGGGGCGTGTGGGAGCCACGAAGGAGTGACCAGGAAGTGCTGGGCTTGGGCTGGGGGTGGCCAGTGTGATGGGAACAGGACAACGAGAAGGAAGCCGGGCCATGATGGGCTGGAGGGTGCAGGCCAAAGAGTCAGTGATGGCAGGCGGGAATGGCTGGGTTCCGGGGCTGAGTGGCCAGCCCTGTGCGGGTGCTTTGCCTGCACTGTCTCCTTTTGTCCTGGTGCCCTTCAAGATGCCCACTGTGCCGATGGGCAAGGCGAGGAGTAGAGAGAAGCCATCCTGCTGTCAACTCAGGCAACAGTCAGTGGGACTCTGGCTTCTGGTGGAGGGAGGGCTGAGGGAGGGCTGAGGGAGAGCTGCGAAGGCGGGGGTGGGGGTCCAGATAAGGGAGCCGATGCCCAGCCCCTGGACGCCCTGTGTCCGAGGACCCACCGGCTACGTCTCTCCCACAGGCCAAGCTGGCCTCCCTGGTCCAGAAGTGCCGGGACCGGAACCGGCTGCTCACACACCTGCTGGGGGAGCTGAGCCGCCATGGGCCGGCCGACCGCCTGCTCTGCCAGACGGTGCGCAGCCTGGTGGACGACGTGGCGCTGGCCGAGTACACGGCCGCCTTCCTGCCGCCCGGGGCCCCGGAGGTCAGTTCCCGGGGCAGCCCTGTCCCTCCTCCTGTGGGGCTGGGCAAGTGGCCCCACCACCTGCTGGCCTGCCCTGCCCCCCTTTCTCCCTGTGCCCCGATCCCGCGGGGAACACGCCCTGAACACCTCCTCTGTGCTCGGGGCTGGCGTGGGAGGGGGTGCGGCCATCCTTACCCTACAGGGCTCACAACACGATGCAGGAGACAGACGCACCCGCAGCGGCTGGAGCTCAGGGTCACCCTGGCGCTGTGCCTGCTTCCCCAGACGGCTCTCTCCCGTGTGCCTCAGGACCTTGGCACCTGCCGCTTCCTCTGGCAAGATCCTGTTTGCCCTCCAGCTCCTGTCCATCTCTCCGGGCACAGTTTGAGCGCGACCTTGCATTATTTCCCGGGAGGAGGTGCCCCTGCTCCCGGACACGTCTCCCCGTGGGCCGGGGTCTCCCCAGACCTTCTGAAAGGCCCTGGCCAGTTGTAAGCGTCCACTCCCTCTGAGGTCACTGAGTCTGCGGACCTGTCTTGCTTTATTTTAAAATCCAGCTCTATAAGAATAACCCCCTTTTCACGATCTGGGAGCGCCTCACTGATCCCCCCACAAACCACAAAATCCAGCTCTGCCACCGCATCCCACAGACGTTTACTGAGCACAACCGGAGCTTGTCTTCCTCGGGGGAATGGTGGCGGGGGGGGGGGGGGGCGGGAGGGGGCTGGGCCACAGCCTGTCCTCTGGGCCACAGTCCGGAGCGGCGGGGCGGGGGGGGGGGGGGGGGGGGGGAAGACAGAGGCTATGATTGGCTGATTGGCCAGGAAGCTGCCCTGTGGCCTCCTCCTGCCCGCTCTGCCTCTCTCTTCCTTCTGGAAACGTCCTGTTCTCTGCTGGGGCTCAGTCAACAAGCCCCAGATCCCAGCCTGCAGAAGTAGAGGCTCCTTTAAAACGCCACAGTGAGACCCAGAGGCCTACACCCCCCTCACTCATCAAACCAGAAGCCCAGCTGGGCCTCGGGGGACCCAGGCAATTCTGTTCTTTTAGCGCCTGCCTTTCAGGAAGTTTAGAATATTCCCCAAAAATGTACGTGGGGGGCGGGGCCTTAGGGCGAGGCCTGATCTGCCTGCTCTCCTGGGGGCAGTTAGCTGTTCTCATTCGGTTCTAACAAAACCCTGCAAGCAAGTGCTGGTCTCCACCTGGGATGGGGGGGGGGCGGGCTGGGTCAGCTGACCTGGCCAGGGAGCGGCGGGCCGGTTCCCCTGCGCAGGCCTGGCCGGCCTCCCGGGGGTCCGTGACAGGAAGCTGGGAGGACTCTGCATGCGGCCCTGCTCTGTCCGGTGGCCGCCTGTGTGAGCTCCCTCCCGGTCATGCAGAGTAACCACTGGGACGTCTCTTCCAGACCAGCCGCCACCCCGCCGTGGAGCCGGAGGCGCCAGCGGCTGCGACAGGTCAGCGCGGCTCAGGCAGGACCAGCCCTGGGCTCTGACCTGTGGGGGAGGGGCAGGGAAGCACCCATGTCAGTGCCAGGAGGAGGAGCTGAGCCACTTCCCCGCCCCCTCCCTTCCCTACTGATGCCGCCTTCGCTTCACAGCTCAGGAGAGCAGGTTAGAAAAACGCTGCTGCTGCAGAATGGCCCAGCTCCCCAGCCCGCAGCCCCCCTGCTCCCCTGAAAATAAAAGCCTTTTAAGGCGAGAGGCAGCAGGCACTCCGGTGAGCTCAGTAAGAACAGCTGTTTCGGCTCAGACGGCAGCGTGGGGGGCGTCCCCTTCAGGGAGCCGCTCTTGTTACGAGGTTCCGTTCTGACAGCTGGTGACCTTGGATGAGCCCGTTGGCCTCTGAGCCCCCGACGCTGATCTTCCAAAGGCGGTAATGCGGCCTTTCTCAGGGGTGTCCAGTGCCTGACCCAGAGGAGAGACTGTCCTCAGCTTTAGCCGGTCTGTTCTCACAGCTGGGGGGCATGCATTTTGGTGGTCCTGCTTTGCCCATTAGTTGGTGTAAGTCTCCCTCTTTGTCTGGACTCAGCTTCCTCAACCTCAAAAGAAGGAAGTGGGCCACCGAGCTGGGCTCCGTGGTTGAGCGTTGACTTAGGATCCAAGAGGTCGCTGGTTCGATTCCTGGTCAGGGCACATCCCCAGGCTGTGGGCTTGCTCCCCAGTAGGAGGTATAGCAGGTGTTCGGGAGGCAGCCAATCAATGCTTCCCTCTCATCGATGTTTCTATTCTCTATCCTTTTCCCTTCTTCTTGCTCTAAAATCAATAAAATACATGTTTTAAACAAACAAACAAACAAATAAAATGAAAGAAGGAAGGAAGGAGGGAGGAGGAAAGAAGGAAGGATGGGGGAAGGAGAGGGAAGGTGAGAGCGGGTCCCAGAGCAGAAGGGCCCGCAGCCGGCAGGGAAGGTGCGGTCGGGAGGCAGTGCTCAGGCTGCCCAAGGCCATGGCAGAACCATCGGAGGCCTGTGGGGGAGGCGCGGAGAGTTCCAGGCCCGATTGCGGGCGTGGGGGTCTGGGAATGAAAGGGTGAGGACAAGGCTCAGGGACATGTTGACATTGGACTCTGGTGGAGGCTTGACTGAGACCGTTTCCTTCCAGCTCAGAGCGCTCTCCTGAGTCCTGACGTGGACAGCGCCCCCCCAGGACCGTGGCCGGTGACTGAGGCGGAGTGGCCAGCACAGACAGCGCGGCTGGGTCCTCCGGAGGTGAGAGGGCATTCTTAAATACACTTCCCACGGGAGGTGTGCCGCACACAGAGGGCACACGCGGCAGTGGGCAGCTCCGTGACTATCCCAGGGCCTCCTGCACCTGTGAGGGCATCCCCAGGCCAAGGAGGAGAAAATGGCCAACCCCACAACACTGGTTTCGTCTCTCTGTTCTCTATGTTTTCATTGGCCTGAGAGAGAGGGGGGGGGGGGGGGAGAGATGGAAACATCAATGAGAGAGAATCATTGATCGGCTGCCTCCTGCACGCCCCCTACTGGGGATCGAGCCCACAACCCTGGGGCACGGGCCCTGACTGGGACTAGAACCGGCAACCTCTTGGAGCAGGGGACAACGCTCAGCCACTGAGCTACACTTTGCTGGGCTAGTGTGTGTTTCTCCGTAAATCGTATGTTCTGTGTCTGGCTGTTTTTCAGCGAGTGCTGGACATTGTGTATGGACACTTGTGCAAACATCATCCTTTGAGGTTGAGCTTGGTATTGTCTGTATCCAGAGAGGATTCCTGTAGCTTCTGACAGGCAGCTGGGCCGGTGCAGACTCCTCACACCAGCTGCTTCCATGCTCAGGGGTCTGCTTCCTCTCTGTTCACACTGATTCCTAGGGCAGAGCTTTCAGGGTCCTGGGCAAAGCCTGGCGTGTTTCTTAGCGTCCTTCCCCGTGGCCCCTGGAGCTCTGCCCGGCTTCCCGCCGCTCAGCTGCCAGCCTCACGCAGACGGGCCCTCACCGGCGGAGGGGACAGGCGGCCGGCCCCGGGGCCGGGCGGCTATTCCCGGCTTCTCTCCTGCTTCCGGTGATGGCCCCGCAGACCCGCGCAGTCCCCGGAGCCCTCAGACGGTGCAGAGAGCTCTTCTGTTACATGTCGTTCAGCTTTCCCCATCGTCCTTCCCGGAGGTTTGGTCCAAAATGCCCGCCTCGATCAGAGCCGGGGCAGCTCTCTGAATTCAGAGAAAACCGAGGTGACGAATTCTGGGTCTGAGCGGCCTGCGTTCACATCCCAGCTGTGATTCAGGGGGTGCGGGAGGGTTCCCCCCGTGCTCCTAACTCCCCTCACCTGGGAACCGGGCTAACGCCGCCGCTGCTGTAGGAGGCGAGGCAGGCAGGGCTGAGCACGGGCCTGGAACACGGAGAGGCACTGCCCCGCACGAGGGGACAGCCTGTCACTGACCTGGAACTCTCTGCCCCGATTGGTGGCTTTCAATCACGTGCCTCCAGGCTTACTGCCCAGGAATAAGGCCTTTCCTGCGTGGCTCCTTTTCTAGGAGGGTTACCTCTGACATTTGATCTTTGACCTGTGCCATCTCGGGCAGGTAGAAGGCACAGAAAGGAACAGCACCCGCAAAGACGGAGGGGCGAGGGCCTGTGAATTAGGGGGGGTGATGCAAGCATCAAACACGGCTGCCGCAGGCAGTGCGGAGTGCAGACAGGAGGCTCAGAGGCCTCAAGCATGCTGCGGATAAGAACAGAATGAGAAAGCCTCCCCCCGCCCCTCGCCCCCACCCCTCAATCCTTGAAGGCTCCCAGGTGCTGGGCCTGTGTGCAACGCATTCGCTTATCCCAGTGGTCGGCAAGTCATCAGTCCACAGAGCCAAATAGCAACAGGACAACGACTGACATTTCTTTTGAGAGCCACATTTTTTAAACTTCTTCCAACGCCACTTCTTCAAAATAGACTGGCCCAGGCCATGGTATTTTGTGGAAGAGCCACACTCAAGAGGCCAAAGAGCCGCATGTGGCTCACGAGCCGCAGTTTGCTGACCACTGGCTTATCCAGTACTCACCTGGCCCACCACGTGATTCTCATCATTAGCTCCACGTTACCTGTGAGAAAGGGCGGGGGGAGGGGTGGGCACAGGGAGGTGGATCGCTGACCCCAGGTCACACAGCCAGTACTGGCAGAGCAGGGGTTCCACCTGGGCAGCCTGGCTCTGGAGCTGGCACGCGGGTCATCCTGAGGCCCGATGGTGCTGGGCCGGCATTGGTGGGGGAGGGGAGACAGGAGAGGTCCCGCCCGCCTGCTGGGTGCGCCCACCTGGAGTTCTGTGAGGGGGGACCTTTGGAGGGAGCAGGTAGAACGCAGATGAAATCAATGGAGGAACCGGAAGAGCAGCTGACCCTCCTGGTTCCCACTGGATGTCACGGATGGAAACGCCTCCTTCATTGGACCTGATCTCACTCAGCTCCGGTGTGGTTAGATGGCAGCTGTCGCTGGGACGCTCCGTCCCATGCTTCACATAGCACCTGGTCCGCAGGCAGCCTCTGCAAGGCCTGATGGGATGGAGAACCGGAGGGGGCGGTGTCTGCTGGGCTGTTTCTCTGGGAGGCCATGCAGGAGCCTGGTTCTCACGGCCACACTGCACGCCCTGCACCGCGTGCCCCACACCTCACGCCCCGCACACCTCACCGCATGCCCTGCACCGCACACCCCGCACTGCACGGCCCTCATTGCACGCCCCACACCGCACATCCCGCACACCGCACGCCCCGCACCGCATGCCCCGCCGCACGCCCCACACCCCGCACACCCATGCCCATCCGCACACCCATGCCCCGCATTGCACATCCTGAACCACATGCCCCGCACCACATACCCCGCACCCCACGCCCCACACCGCGTGCCCCCACCTTGGCTCTGTCCGCTGCGGTGGGCGTGGAGGCCGGGCTCTCTGCCTGGGATTGCAGGCTGGGTTTCTGGATTTCGGAGCCTCCTGCGGTGAAATCCGATTGGTTAATAAGCTCACCAGGGGAGTGGTGGCCTCTAAGCAAAGCGAGGTCACAGTGGAAGGGCAGCAGCTCCATCATCACATGTCACGATCCCTTTATGGCTGAGCTCAGAGAGAAGGAAAGGAAGGCGAGGGCCTAAAACACTCACAAATACGCTGAAGGGGCCGGCGAGCCTCGGAGGATTGAGGAAACGTTCATCTCCCACCGAAGACCCCTCATCCCTGCCTTGGGCAGCAGCAGACTGAGCGGCGAATGGTGCAGGGTGGGAGCCATGCAGCCTGGGTTCAAACCTCGCTCTGCCTCCTCAGGAGCTGTGTGGCCCTGGGCCAGTCACCTAACCCTCTGGGCCTCTGCTCCCTCAGCTGTGTAATGGGATAATGTTACTTCTCCCTTCTGGTTAAAGAGCAAATGGATACATGTGCATAAGAGCTCAGCCAATGCTCACCGCCATGGGTTGAACCCTACGAAATTGCTGATGTCATACCACCCTCTCCCTATAAACGCAGGGTTTCAGATGGTTTAAACTGGTATCATTAGTGCAAGGCTAGAGGCCCGGGGCAGGGATTCATGCACTGGTGGGGGTGTGACCTGAGGGACCAGCCCACTATGGGAGCACTGCTCATCCCTGTCCGCCCAGCGGCTGTGGACCCGCCCTCTGAGCGCTGTTCCCACTGTGGGAGTGAACTGACCACCAGGGGGCTGGGCAGGGCTGGGCAGGGCTGAGCGGGGCAGAGCTGGGCTGGACAGGGCTGAGCGGGGCAGAGCTGGGCAGGGCAGGGCTGGACAGGGCTGGGCTGGACAGGGCAGAGCTGGGCTGGCCAGGGCTGGGCAGGGCAGGGCAGAGCTGGGCTGGACAGGGCTGGGCAGGGCAGAGCTGGGCTGGACAGGGCAGGGCAGGGCTGGGCAGGGCTGGGCAGGGCAGGGCAGTGCAGGGCTGGGCAGTGCAGGGCTGGGCAGTGCAGGGCTGGGCAGGGCAGTGCAGGGCAGGGCGGATAGGTTAGGGATAGGGCAGGGCAGGGCAGGGATAGGCTGGGCAGGTTGGCAGGGCAGGGGGCTGGGGCAGGCTGGCAGGCAGGGGGTCTGGGCAGGGCAGGGCTGGGCAGGGCAGGGCAGGGCAGGGATAGGTAGGGATAGGCAGGGCAGGGCTGGGCAGAGCTGGGCAGAGGGGGGCTGGGCAGGGCAGGGCAGGGCAGGGCAGGGCAGGAGGCTGGTGTCCCGGAGACAGAGGTTCCTCCTGATGGGAAGAGTCACCCCTCTTGTCACTGGGAACAAGGAGGCTTGCAGACGACATCGGCTCCCTGGGGTCTCCCACCAGGTGTCCGGGCAGGCATCTGGGTGACATGGGGTAAGCCACCTCTCCCCCATCTCCTCTGCGCACCTGTGCCCGGGGATGGTGTGGGCCTCAGGGACTCAGCAGAAGGACGTGAGCTCAGGGGGAGGCATGTTTGGGGTCCGGCACGGGAAGTGCTGGGAAATGGCAGCTTCCTCGCCATCTGCCCTCGGGAAAGCGTGGGAGCAGAGGCCTGTCACGATGCTCTCGCCTCCAGCCTCCCCTGCCTCCGGGGCCGGCGCCCGATCCTGGACCGAGCCCGGCCGTGGCCGCGGAGGCGTCGGGACTCCCTGTGCAGCGTCTGCTGGACAGAGGCAGCGTGTCCTGTCCGGGCCCCCAGGCCGCCAGCCCCCTGCCCTCCGAGCTGCGGAGCCCTGCCAGGATCCTGGCCTTCCACCGGGAGCTCAGCCGGAGCGTCCGCGGCAGCCGCCGGGTCACTGAGTCCCCGCTGGAGCTGTGACCCCCGCCGCCCGCTCCTGGTCGCCCGCGGGCCCTCAGGACTGGACACCGAGCCTTCGGGCACCTGAAGAGACGGGCAGCAGCTGGGGCCCGGGGCCAGGGCACGTGGTCCTGCTCTGGGGGCTGTGGAGGTGGTCAGAGCTTGACAGGAGCCCTGGGCGGGCCTTGCCAATGTCAAGCAGTTTGGCTTTGGCAAATGCAAGGCGGCAAAGGGCATGCTTCTTGGACTCAATCCTAACCCGGTGCTGGCCCCCGGAGGCAGACTTGGCAACGGCTGGAGACGTTTTTGTTGTCACAACCAGGAAGCCGCTACTGGCCTCTCATGGGAAGGAGCCAAAGATGCTGCTGAGTATCCCACAATGCACGGCAGCCCCTGGACAGAGCCGCCTCGCCCACGTGTCGGCAGAGCCGGGCAGGGAGGCCCCGGGCTGGTCTCACAGCGCCGAACGCTGTCCACCTTGGGAACTGTTTGTTACTTTCCCGCCCCTGGGACCTCACCCCCAGGTCTCATTCTATATTTTGCATTTTAAAACAATAAAAGCCCGTCAGGACTTTCTAATCAGTCCACCTGTTCAGCACTGGCAGACACCCAGTGTGTGCCAGGCAGCCTGTGTGAGGCGGAGAGACGAGTCCACGTTGGTCCCTGCCCCGGGGAGAGGCACATGCAGACACATCACGGGCAGACACATCACGTGCAGACACATCACGGGTGTCGCAAGATGTGTGCCGAAGGGCAGGGCCGGTTCTACCTGGCTCCAGGAAGGCATGGCTGGCTGGGCAAGGCCCCGGGGCCCAAGGAGGTTGTCAACACCTGGGTGAGGGGGGAAGGGTGTCACAGCAGAGGGAACAGCATGCGCAAAGGCCCTGGGTGTGTCCCGGTGGAGGAGTGTGCACAGCCGCTCCCTGCCGAGCCTGCTGCAAGTGGGCACACTCCAGCGCCCCTGCACCGAGGCCACGCAGGCCCACGCACCTGTGGGATGACACACGGACGGTCCTTCATTGGGGTCAGGAAGCAAACACCTACTCATTGACCCCCCCCCTCCCCCAATCCAAGGTCTGGCTTGTGGGCCTCAAACCACACCAGCCCACGGCAGGGCCTCAGAAAGTAAGTGCTGAGTGGGATCAGCACACTGGTGGGCGCTGGGAGGGCTGGGGGCAGCAGGGGCCCCCAAGCATTGCATTGGGGAGCGAAATTGGACACGTGCAGAGTGGAGAGGGTGTGGGGGGGCCAGGCTCTCAGACAAGTGCCGCTCAGCGGGGACCCGGCGATTCCTCCCCTGGGAGCTTCCCTCAGGCGTCCGCACACGTGTGTGAACAGATGTGCACGCAGGCACGGTGATGTCAGCACCAGCCAAGACCGGAGACACGCAGATGGGCGTTGAGAGGGGCCGGTAACATCCACCCACCAGGGAACAACGCGGCTGTTCAAGCCGTGAGGGAGGAGCGCCTGGTGCAATCCAGCTGTTAAAGCAGGTGCGTGCGGGGCAGAGCGTGGCGCACGCCGCCATCGGGGGAGAGAGGGTGTGTGTACATGTGTATGCGTGCATGTGTGTGTGTGTGTGTGTGTGTGTCTGCTTAGAATAGAGAGGCCGTCTCGGGAAGGCCCATAGGAAACCCCTGGGGTGGGAACTGGGAGGCGGTTGGGTAGGGGATTTGCACTGTAGACTCCTCTGCCTTCTGAATTTTTAAAAAATGTTTCCCCTGTACTAAAAATGCACGTTAACTGGGACAGGGGAGGCACAGTGGGATTCCTTCTGGCACCTTCCACGTGGTGGTCACAGAAAGACACAGATGCCCACCCCCATTTCCTACCCGACCCCACCTCTGCCTGCAAGGTCTCGGTCCCTGGTCAGCCGCTGCTCACCTCCAGGGCCCACCTCGCGGAGCACTTCCTCCAGAAAGCCCTCCCTGATCTCCCTCACTGGCCACTGTGCTGTGCCGCGCTGTCTCTCCAGGAGCCTGAAGGACGGGGACTGGCGGGAGACCAGGGTGCCAGCCCCGCCTCTCACCTGCCCTGGCTCAGGAAAAGGTCTGCTGGGCCGACACGGGCACCTCACGCCTCCATGGGCACGAGGAGCCAGGCAGCAGGGAGAGGAGCACACTTCCCTGCTTGGCCGCCGGCCAGGCCCCCCTCCCGTCTGATTGGCCTAAAAGCCCAGGAGGGGCCTGCCGTAGTGTGTGTGTGTGTGTGTGTGTGTGTGTGTGTGTGTGTGTGTGTGTGTGTGAGTGTGTGTGTGTGTAACTGTGTGTGTGTGAGTGTGTGTGAGTGTGTGTGTAACTGTGTGTGTGAGTGTGTGTGAGTGTGTGTGTGTGAGTGTGTGTGTGTAACTGTGTGTGTGTGAGTGTGTGTGTGTGTAACTGTGTGTGTGAGTGTGTGTGTGTGTGAGTGTGTCTGTGAGTGTGAATGTGAGTGTGTGAGTGTGAGTGTGTGTGTGTGTGTGTGTGTGTGTGTGAGTGTGTGTGTGAATGTGTGTGTGAGTGTGTGTGTGTGTGAGTGTGTGTGAGTGTGTGTGTGTGTGAGTGTGTGTGAGTGTGTGGTGTGTGTGAGTGTGTGTGTTTGTGTGAGAGAGTGTGTGTGTGAGTGTGTGTGTGTGTAACTGTGTGTGTGAGTGTGTGTGAGTGTGTGTGTGTGTAACTGTGTGTGTGAGTGTGTGTGAGTGTGTGTGTAACTGTCTGTGTGAGTGTGTGTGAGTGTGTGTGTGTGAGTGTGTGTGTGTAACTGTGTGTGTGTGAGTGTGTGTGTGTGTAAC